TGGTTACAGTACGGAATATCCTATGGGGTGATCTTTAGTATTAGTCTTTTTCTCTAAATTGTTTCTTTAGAGATATTCACTGTGACTTATTATTCAGTCTCTTTGATTCATTGCATGTCAATTTCCACATACACATACTTGTGCCCAATATATAAATGGGAAAGATACACCATGATCCATCACTTAATTATTTCTAATGTGGAAATTATAAATGTCTCCCTTTTCCATGTTCCATACTACCTATTTACAATGCTAGTCAAGAATATCTTTAGTATAAATTAATCACAACAATAAAAGATATAGTGGTTTGTGCAAACATGTTTTTGAAACATGTTTCAAATATGTTTTGAAACATGTTTGAAACTGATCTTGGAAGCAAAGGCACTGTCTGTTAAGTCTTGCTCTTCTTCCTGCAAAATAATAATTTTACATCATGTGGGATGGCAAGTTCTAGTACCTTGTCAAATTTTTATTTAAGCTCCTGATGTAATGCTCTGATGCCAACTCAAGAGTTGCTATTTTTAAATGAATACTTTCCTTGAACTGTCTTTTAATTCCTTGGGTAATTTCTGCTTGCTATTAGCATTTGAATAGTTATGCCCATGCATCAGACTTCAAGAAAATAGCAACCATCTGTCAAGAACCACAGACCTTAGCCCTTGGTCTCTGGTATTCTGACAGCACTGCCTTCTCTAATGGAAATATCAGTACCTGGTGAGCACACGGCTGGCACTCAGTAGTGGAAATATTAACACCCCATGCCCCACACTAGGTAAATTAAATCTCAACATGTCTCTTGCTAAAAATAAACCAAAAGGAGGTGGTGAATCTTTGGACAGGGTCAAATAAATAGTAATATTAGAAATTCTCTGAGCTAGAAATGGAGCACACCGGTTCTCAAGAGGTTAAAACATTGGAAAAATAGACTATTCAAAGGAGAAAAAAATACAGATCTCTGAAGACCTCACTCTGACAACTCAGTTAACAAGCACAAACTGTTTGTTCTCAGAAAAGTCAGCTTTTGAATTTAGAGAAGTTGAAAGGTTCATTTTTGGAAACAGCTTGTCCTCAAGTTTTTTAGTAGTTCAGTTAAAGAGAGTGGGAGTCATAGAAGGAGTGCAATGGAAATATTTTAACCTTTCCTGTGACCTTCTTTGATGCATGATAAGGAACTATCCGATGTTCAAATAAATCAAATTTCTACTAAGTTTCCTGAATGATGCTTAATAAACAATACTCTACTTTAAAACTAGTCCCTATAATTTATAAAAATCTGTTCAGGAAAAAAAAGAAATTACACAGTGAATGAAGTAGAAACATCCAAGCATAAGATAATTAAGTACTACTATATACTATAATAAAACCATTTTAAGATAGTTTTATTTACATATTTAATATGTATATAGCTTAGAATATTTCTGTAGAAAGGTTGTAAGCATCTTAGTTAAGATTTCAAACTCGAAATCTCTGGATTTAACTTGAGCTCCTCAATTTACTAGTGTTCCATTGGGTAACTTAATGTCTGTAAGCCTCAATTTCCTCACAGGTACAATTGGGATAATAATAGTATTTGCCTCATAGGGTTATTGTGATTATTAAAATTAGATAGTACTATGGGGCACTAAGGAACAATTTGATCTTTATATTTAAAATATTGAGTCAAATAGATTTTCAGCATCTATTTAGGTAGAGGAGGCTCACTATAAACAGAATTAAGCTTATTTATCAGGGATCAGAGAATATTGAAGTCCATCTAGCAAATCATTTCATTTTCCAAGTAAGAAAATTCAGCAATATTATAGGCTTCATTCTTATAAAGATCTTTGTAAGAGGTTGCCACAACTCTGAGCACAAGCACAGGGGGTTGGGACTCAGAATCCCACTAGAGCAGTAAGCAGCGTGGGACACTTCCACAGGCCATGGTGGATCAAGTACCTATTGTATGGCTTCAACCAGCTCTTTTGGCTGACCGGGTCAGCTGTCATTGCTTTTGGACAATGGTTTTGGTTTGGAGGCACCATGATGGATTTATTGTCAGAGGATGAGTCACCAGAGTATTTCTACTGGAGCTCTAAGTTCTGCTTGGAGCAGGAACCCTGATAATACCTGTGGGCTTCTTTGGGTGTTAAGAAGCCATGAGGCAGCTGCAGTGTGTGTTTGGCTCTTTCACCGGCCTACTGGTGATATTTGCTGCTGAAGTAACCACTGGAGTATTTGTTTTTATAGGCAAGGGTGTTGCCATATGACATGCTCAGACCATGTATGAAGAGGCTTATAACCATTACCTTCCAGATATGGAAAAAATGAAATAGGACTCTCAGTACTTTCCACTCAACATTTTAGTGCTGTGAAACAAAAGCTCTGAACAGGTCCAACCCACATGCCCAAAGATGCTTCTAGGACACAGACATTGTATTGATGAAATTGAGATCATAATTAACATTCAGTCAGCTTCAGGTCATCAGAATGTGTTGGTATTGGAATTATGGGTCTCACGATCTTTGGCATGATGTTCAACATGGTACTTGGCTGTGCAATGCTAAACTCATGAGATGTGATCTGAAGCCACCTCTACATGAAAATTACAAGTTACAGCTTTTACACAGCTGAAGCAGGAGAGGTCTCCTAGCTCATTTCTAATATTGGTGGATACTTAGGATCTTAAATAATTTGTTGCTAATTGTACATTGCACATGGATGCAGGTTTGGTTCATTACTGATTTACTCCCTGAATGAATGCCTAGTACCTATGTTAACTGAAAGTATATTCATGTGTGATCTGCATGTTTCTAGTATATGTATTTTACATAGTAAAATCTGTTTGCTGGGAATTCGATTTCTTGTTATGTCGGAACAACCACCTATTTACCTCTAAGGGAAAAAAAAAGATCAAAAAGCATTTATAAAGTTTAAAAACTTGAGTATTCAAAACAAAGATTTTACTAAGATATGTTCCATAAATTCTATTAAAAGGTATTAGTTGACACATTTAAATGTCTTTTAAAAAGATCAAGGTATATCTCAGTAAAACAATAATAGTCCTCCACCTCCCCCAATTAAGCCAGTTTATGCTTTAGGAACTAGGAAGCTGTTATACCGGTGAGAAATTAGGTGAGAAAAATTAGGTTCACCTAAATTAGGCTCAGAAATTAAATTTCTGTTAAGAAAATTAGGCTTTAGAAATATAGAGATTCAGACTTCTATTTTTACCTTTACAACTAATATTCTTTTTTTTTTTTAGAGAGAGATTTTATTTATTTATTCATGAGAGACACACACACACACACACACACACACAGAGAAAGAGAGAAGCAGAAACACAGGCAGAGGGAGAAGCAGGTTCCATGCAGGGAGCCTGACGCGGAACTCGATCCTGGGACTCCAGGATCATGCCCTGGGCTGAAGGCAGGTGCTAAACTGCTGAGCCACCCAGGGATCCGCTACAACTAATCTTTTACAATTTTAATAGCTTTATTGAGATGTAATTCAAATACCATACAATTCAAGTGTATAATTCAATGGTTTTTTCATGTTCCCAGAGTTGTGTAACTATAACCATAAAAAGAAACTTAATATTCACTAGCAGTCAACCCCCTTTTCTCCCAACCTATTCTAGACCTAGGAAATCACTAATCTATTTTCTATATCTACAGATTTGCCTATTCTGGACATTTCTTATAAGTGGAATCATAAAATATGTGTTCTTTTGTGACTGGCTTCTTTCATTTAGCATGTTTTCCAGGTTTAGTCATGTTGTAACATGTATTATTATTTATTCCTGTTTATTATCGAATGATAGCACACTGTATGGATAGATCACATTTATCTATTCTTTAGTTGATGGCTACTTGGGTTGTTTCTCCTTTTTTGCTGTTGTGAATACTGCTGCTCTGAATATTCGTGTATGAGTTTTTGATTGAACATGTATTTTATCTGGGTATATATTTAAGAGTAGAATTGTTGGGTCATACAGTAACTCAATGTTTAATATTTAACTGAACTGAACTGAAAATTATTTTCCAAAGTGGTTGCACCATTTTACATTCCCACCAGCAATGCATGAGTCTTGCAATTTCTCCATATCCTTGCCAACACTTGTTATTATTTGTCTTTTTGATTATAACTATCTTAATGAGTGTGAAATGGTATCTCATTGTGGTAGAAAAAGAGAACCCCTTCACCTCCTTTTTCATCCCAGAAGTTTTGGAAAGTACCTAATTTTAACATAAACTTAAGTAAATCAGTTTGAAAAGTGCTTTGTGTCACTCTCTCTCCCACATTTCTTCTTCTGTCTGGACCTTGAAAAAGAATCCAGAATAGAACTGGGCTCCACAATTCTTCTCTGATTCTAGAGATTGCAGACTTTATTCATGGCATCAGTGAACTGATGCTATCAAGACAGTTTTAAAATAACTCTTCTTGGCTCTATTAATATAAAATAGAAGCCAAGGAAGAGCTGTTTCCCCAAACCAGAGCCAGCTTCCATATTTATTCCCACATGTTTCTCTGTAACTAAAAGAAGACATCATTACTCCATCCCCAACTGCATCCCTGTATGTTTTATTCTGAGAGAAGACCTAGAGAATATACAAGGGATAGGTTTTTCCCTCTTATTCTTATCATTATCATTGACATGTTATACACCTACTGTAAGTGGGGCGTTTTGTATAAAAGATACAGTCTCAATTATTAAAGACTTTTTTTTGAGAGGGGTAAGGAGTATTTTATTCTTCTCTGTTTATTTTGTTATTTTTGTAAGAGTAACTAAATTCTTCATTTAAGAAACTATGACCATTAATTATACTTCCAGTTTAATACAGAAGATGCAATTATAGCTTAGATATGTTTAAAATTTATATTCAGTTTACATTTATATAAATTTATTATCTATAGCTATTGAAATTGGGAACAAGAATAATTATTGAATTAATTATAGTCCTATTTTTTTCCTCTTCAAATTTCTCTCATTAGTAATATCATGCTTGTTATGCAATTCTTACCTAGAAGTCAGAAGTCCAAGTGCCTCCAAAGGGCAAGAAAATTGCCATCTTCTCAAAATGGTATGTATTTCTGAAACAGTTCTTTCATCCCATCCAGGAGCACTACCCAGAACCAAAGGAAGGGAGCAGTTTTCATTATTGCAGTAGAAGCGATAAAACCATAAGTACCTTTTCTTTTCCTCAGAGAGTCTGCAAAATCAGAGTGGAAACTGTAAGTTATTGGAGTTTGCTATACTAACAAATGTTATAGTACAAAATCTGACTCAGTTCTTTGAATTTCATTTTAGTTCACTTTGGAAAACAAGTCTTTTATTTCTTGAAACAATTTGATAGGTTATTTTATTGTCTTTTTCCTATTCATTCTTTTATAGAAAAATAAAGTTCAGTTCAGATAATTGACATTTATTTTTTCTTCCTCTCATTCTTGCCATTTTTTTTTTTTAAAGGCTATTTTGGTTAACAGAATCTCTGTCTCCTTTAGGGCAGAGCAAGTTTTATTTGAATCCCACATGTACTACTTAGGACAGAGATAATCGAAAATTTACTCTTACTTTCTTTATAAATTAATTTAGACTCAAGTGGGCTTGTGAAGAAATGACATATTTTAAAGGCAATATTCCTTCATCTCATAGGGAGTTTCATCAGAGTTCAGAAAACTCTACACTAAACTTCAAAAGATCTCATTTATCCTTGGATTTGGGCTTTAAATGCTCATATTTAGCTGGAAGTTTAGAGTTAAAATGCCAGTGAACAGGATTTCTGTAAATGCCCAAGTGATTCCCCCTGGAGAATGGTTCCAAACAGAAGACTGAAATCTAGGACTAGGGCCATTGACTTGCTGACAGTTTATCATGTTTTGCTCACACTCCAGCAGAAGCATTCAGAACCACAGTTCAACTGGAGGACAGCATTTCTCACATGACAATGACAGCTTTTGAACACGGTCTCCTCCAAACTGACAGTGTTGCTTAGCTGAAATTAGCTAAAACTTGAGAAAGATAATGAGAAATATTAAAATATTTTAAAGATTAATATTTCTTTGCATTTTCCAAAGCCATCTTTATCTACAAAATGGAAGGGTTGGATTATAGAGATTTTTTAAAGTATGTTTGGGCCCCTGTCCTATTTTGTCACTACCTTCCCCCCCGCTGAAAGTCCTCAGAAGAAAAAGTTCCATAATAAAATTATTATTATTACTAAGCCAAGTTATTTTGTTCTGATTAAATTCCTTTTTCCCCAATATTGACAAGATATGTTTCTTTTACTTTCTTTTAGTGAAGCATACATAATTAACATCAAAAGGAATGCACACATTCAGTTCAATACATTTTAACAAATGCATATACTGAATAAAAACTACACTCCTTTCAAGATAAAAGTTTTCTCATGCAAACAGAGATAAACACTGGCAGGATTTCTTTCACTCTCTATTACTATTATCTATTTTAGAACTTGATGTAAATGGAATCAGAGAATAAATACTTTTATTTATAATTCCTTTCACTCAGAAATTTGACTATAATATAGGTGTGTGGGTGTGTCTGTGTGCTTGTTTGGGAGTTGCTAAGTTTCTTATATCTTTATAAGTAAAGTTATTTGGGTTGAAGTTTAAAACAAATTTGTGAAATTTTGACTATTAGCACTTTTTTTTTTTGGCTTTGATCTTTCTCTCTACTCCTGTGTGTCCAATACACATATTGTCAGTATTGTCTGACAGGTTACAGAGATCTATCACAATTTTTATGATTATGTCTTTCTGTACTTAAACATGGTGTATTTTTTATTGCCCTCTCTTCAAGCTCATTGTTGTTTCTTTATTATGCAATCTACTAAGCCATTCCTGGGATTTTTAGAAAATTTAGATATTGTGTTTTTCAGCTTTTAAATTTCCAATTTTATTTACTGAGACTTCATTTGTTCACTCATATACATTTTTTTTTGTAAAACCACGCATGTCTTTATGATAGTTGTATTAAAATAATAATCTGCTAGTTTAAATATATTTGGATTTGTTTCTGTTAACTGCTTCTCCTATTCTGGGCTATGGTTATATATTCCTGAGTCTTCCTATATCTAACAGTTATTGATTGTATGTTAAATATTTAAGATGCTACACTGTCTGCACTTTGCCATCTTTTGGGTGTTGAAGGTTTCATTTTTTAGTAGGCAGTTTAAATACTAGCAGATCAGCTTTAGCCTTTTGAGGTTTGTTTTTATGATATGTTAGGTTGGGCCTAGCATAGTCGTTAATCTTGGACTACAGAACACTTATTCTTAGTATGCATCTTTCTGGTTTCTTTGTTGAATGGTTGGGGTGTTCTGGGATCTTCTATAATTCTTACTGGTTAGTATTTCTTTTTTTTTTTTAAGATTTTTATTTATCTATTCATGAGAGACAGAGACAGAGACGAGAAATAGGCAGAGGGAGAAGCAGGCTCCATGCAGAGAGCCCGATGTGGGACTCTAGCCGGGGTCTCCAGGATCAGGCCCTGGGCTGAAGGCAGTGCTAAACCAGGGAGCCACCTGGGTTGCCCACTGGCTAATATTTCTATGCCTTCCAGCATTGTGCAATCTTTGGAATCTACATTCATTTCACACCTCCCTGTGGTGGCTCTTTTGTAGGCCTTACAAAATTTTTACCTGCTCATGAGTAACTTAGTACTTAGTTATGTATTTCTGTAGCTCCTGTCCTTCTGTACTGTTATGGTCTAGAAATTCCAGCTGCCTCAGCATCATTAAACTCTGATCTTTGCTCATTTTTTTTTTAAATCTCAGCAAGACTACTTTGATAATCTTCTTTGATTATACCTCCCAGAGCCATGATGTAGAAAGTGCCTCCAGGCTAAAAGCCACTTTATTCATGAGTTCACCTCAAACCCCATCCAATTTCTGAAAGCAGTTGTTTCATATATATTTTTCTTGTATCATATTCCTTTACGTCAGGAGGATTAGTCGAGTAATAAGTGCCTGTCATAGTTAGAAATGGAAGCATTAATTTCTTTCAAAACATGTTTTTCTATCTTTTATCCTGGAATATTCTTCAAATTAGAAACATTCTTTTAGCTGTTATCAAGAACATATATTTTTAAAATTTTTACAAATACTATATGTACATTTTTATTGAATCTCTTTGAGTCTGAATTTCCTGACTCTGATTACATTTGAGAAATTTAAAAAGAATAATTGTCACTGTCTAAATGACAGAGTGTAGTATTCTGAAACAAGTTAATCTGATGTTTTTGAAGTTAATCTGATTCTAACACAAATTTTATCACATTGAAGGCCATTCTTCATCTTTTTCACAATCCAGAATGAAATTCTACTGTACTGAGCTTAATAATTGTATTGGAGTAAATGAAACAGAGGAAAATTCTGCTTGTTTTATGTATAAATTATTCATTTAAATAGAAACTGAGGTCTAAAACAAGTTGGGATTCATTGGGGTAAACTTAAAAAAACAAACTTCTAATTTTTTTTTTTAAGATTTTATTTATTTATTCATAGAGCTGCAGAGAGAGAGAGAGGCAGAGACACAGGCAGAGGGAGAAGCAGGCTCCATGCAGGGAGCCTGACATGGGACTCGCTCCAGGGTCTCCAGATCACACCCTGGGCTGCAGGCGGCGCTAAACCTCTGCGCCACCAGGGCTGCCCACAAACTTCTAATATTTAAAGGAAGTTACTATCCTAATTTGTTGCTTTTGAACTTTCTTGTTTGAATATACTTAAAATTTCAAAGCATGGCATCATCTTCATATTTAAAAAAACATTACAATATGTTAGTCTGATATGTGACATACTTGTTAAATCTAATGTTTCATATTTTTGAGTAAATAATAGAAATAGAGTAAGAAATGCTTCACCTAATAGTCTAATATCTCCTAGTAGTCTAATATAACAATGGATTATCAAAATGTGTCATGAAGACTATGAGTATTCTTGTTCCATCATTTACAATCCTTAAGGCAACTTTTTATATCAAATTTTACATGAAGGAGCTTTATTCATTATAACATATATTTTAATGTATTATTTATCAGCACAGTGTACAATACTGAAAATATAGTGACAAATAAGATAGATGGGTTCCCTGCTCTCCCAATTCTTACAAATTTATGAGGAAGAAAAGAAAAAAAAACACATTAACGAACAAGAGGATAATAGATTGTGTTATGTGTGATATTAAAAGGTAATAAGATAGAGAGTAAAGAGAAAAACTTAATTAGAGTAGTCAAAGAAAGCTTCTTCGAGAAGACCACAATTTAGTGAAGACCCGATCTACAGGATAAGATGATTCAGTTATGTGATGAACTGAAGAAGGAGTATTTCAGTTAGAGGGAACACCAAATGAAAAAGTCTTGAGATAGGAGAGGGATCAGAACAATTGAAGTATAAAAAGGAGACTGATTCATTGGCTTGAAGTGAATGAGGAAAAGAGTATTGCAAGGTGAAATTAGAGATTACCCAAAACAAAACTCTTGATCATACTCAACACCTCAGTCTGAAATGACCCAAATTTATTTCTTCTCCAGAAAATGATTCTAACATCTGCCTATTTAATCATTTCAAAACTTTGGATTCTCCATTGACTTCACTTGGTTTCTTGTTTCTCAGTTGGCTTATCCTCTTGTTACTATTAATCAAGTCACGTCTTCTCAATTTCCAAAATAGATCTCCCAAATCCAGACATTCCCCCAATATCTATTGCCATCCCCCTAGTTTTAGCCAACATGACCTCTTGCTTAAAAAGTCACATCAACCGTCTTGCATACAGCTTTCATTCTTACTTTCTCAACTTGTGGTCCAAGGTATCACTCAAAAAGAGTATTTAGATCACATGACTCTCCTGTTCAAAGTATTTAAAAAATTTGTTATTTTTGGAATAAAAGGCTTTATCACATTTTATATCTTCTCACAGTATACACATAAAAACTTATTTCCAGGGATCCCTGGGTGGCGCAGCGGTTTGGCGCCTGCCTTTGGCCCAGGGCGCGATCCTGGAGACCCGGGATCAAATCCCACATCGGGCTCCTGGTGCATGGAGCCTGCTTCTCCCTCTGCCTATGTCTCTGCCTCTCTCTCTCTCTCTCTCTCTCTCTCTCTCTCTGTGAGACTATAATAAATAAAACAAAATTTAAAAAAATTAAAAGAAAAAAAACTTATTTCCATAGCTTTATTCTTTTGCATGCATTAATGAGCACAATGAGCTATGGCTTAGATATTACCAAGGAGAAAGTACCAATATCACTAATTCTTTTATAGTTCTTCCTGGGATTTTATTTTATTTTTCAGAGAATTTGACAAAATTTAAATACTCCTTAGTCACTAACTTAATGCTAATAAAACATTATTTATAAATTTTCTTTTTAAATCTGCCATGAAAATTAAATTTTGATTTTTCCTATTTACTAAAACAACTTTTACTCGGTTGAAGGATGGTTGAGCAATGGTTTATCACTGTTAAATGCTGATATACATCTAATCAGTCTCTGTTGTACTGAACTGAATGATTTCCAACATTTTTATTTGTCCTTTGACTGAAGTTAAAGTTGCTAAAAGCAATGGGGAAAATCTTTAAAACCATACAAAATTACTAATTTAGCTCCTAAACATTAATTGATCATCCAGCAGGTGTGACTTCAGGTAACAAAAGGAGTTTTATTGAAAGGTTCACTCTTCAAAGATATTGGTGCTTCCAGTATGACTGATCACCTCAAAACCAACACGACCTGGGTCACTTACAGTAAGGGAGACTGTTTCTGTGAAAGTCTGGCAATATGTTTTAAACACTCTTTTGGTGGTTCTTCAAGATTACTTCTATTTTCTTCAGAATCAGATTTCATATACTCCAACTCAGTAGCTGGAAAATCAATCTGAAATAAAGAAGTGATTTCCCATGTATTGAATGCCTCAAAATACACCATTAATTTAATATTCTCTAAGGTTTGTAGAAACGAAAGGAAAATTCCTGTTTTCTGTGTTTTACAAAAAATAATTTATAAAAGAATCATTTGGATTGGAGCACCTGGGTGGCTCAGTTGGTTAGGCATGCAACTCTTCATTTGGGTCAGGGTTGTGGGATTGAGTCCTGCATCAATCAGGCTCTATGCTCAGCACAGAGTCTGCTTCAGATTCTCTCTCTCTTTCTCTTTCTGCCCCTCCCCCCACTTGTGCACCTGTGCATGCACATTCTCTCTCAAATAAATAAATAAATAAAATCTTTAAGAAAAAAAGAATCATTAGGGTTTGGACTTGGTATTTAAATATACATGGCATTTAGCAATTCCTCATTTAGATACATGGTATAAATTAATCTGTAATGTCTGAGGAAAAGAGAAAAAATAACATGACATTTTATAAATTTAAATATTTGTTTAATGCTGAAATTATATCCTTTCTACAGTTCAGTATTAAAATTTCTTTGAATTATTATTATTTTTAAAAGATTTTATTTATTTATTCATGAGACACACACAGAGAGAGAGAGAGAGAGAGAGAGAGAGAGAGAGAGAGAGAGAGAGGCAGAGACACAGGCAGAGGGAGAAGCAGGCTCCATGCAGGAAACCCGATGTGGGACTCCATCCCGGAACTCCAGGATCATGCCCTGGGCTGAAGGCAGGCGCTAAACCACTGAGCCACCCAGGGATCCCTTATTTGTATTATTAAATGATAAAAATTGTAGATGGTAATTACACTTTTCTCATGTAAATACCTGAGAAAATAAAGAGTTACTCTGTTTGTTTCTATTTCAGGAAGTTTACAGGGTGGTGAACCACTCTGTATACATGAAATTTCTGGTAAAAATCTGTTTAAGTGTATAACCAAATACAGAATTTTTGCTCTTGCTCTGTAGTTCAGATTTATAGACAGAGCTAGTATTCAGGCCTCCTTTTTTTTTTTTTTTTTTTTTTCAGAATGTGCTTTCCATTAAATCATGTTTCAGTAATAACCCGATTCTAGTAAATTTGAAAATCAGTTAACAAAATATATAGTTTCAAACTATGTAAATGAGCTAGATATTTTAGTGCCCCATATGTGTGTTTAAAGTTATAATATACATTTTTTCATATTAAAAAACCTAAATAATTTTTCTCTGCTGACCTATGTTGGTTTGGGGTCTCATAGAAAATTTAGAACACTATAAGGTGGATTGTGTGAGTTACAACTTGAAATACAGTTGAATTTATTTGGGTTATTTTTTTTTAAGATTTTATTTATTTATTCTTGAGAGACACAGAGAGAGACACACACACAGGCAGAGAGAGAAGCAGGCTCCACGCAGGGAACCTGATGTGGGACTTGACCCCGGGACTCCAGGATCACACCCTGGGCCGAAGGTAGGCGCTAAACCGCTGAGCCACCAGGGATCCCCTATTTGGGTTATTTAGTGGAAAAATGTTTTGGCAATTTCATAACCTCTAAAATTTGTCACATTCATTTTTGTAATTTTTGTTATAGTGTACCATTTATTAGTCCAATATGAAAAAAGAACTAAATCATAGAAAAAGCAACATTATAATAAATTTTGCCTCTTCACACAAAGATTAATTTTGGTCCCTTAGGGAGAAGTAACTCCAGTATTAGCAAGAGTAGCTACAAGTTACTCTTTGTATGCTCAAATGTTTTTAAGCACACGAAACAAAAATAGTAGAAATGGTATTTGATGAGTTAGTTCAACATTATGTTGGTTTTTTTTTGCTTTATTTATTTATTTATTTTTTTTAATAAATTAATTTTTATTGGTGTTCAATTTACCAACATACAGAATAACACCCAGTGCTCATCCCGTCAAGTGTCCCCCTCCGTGCCCGTCACCCATTCACCCCCACCCCCCGCCCTCCTCCCCTTCCACCACCCCTAGTTCATTTCCCAGAGTTAGAAGTCTTTATGTTCTGTCTCCCTTTCTGATATCTCCCACACATTTCTTCTCCCTTCCCTTATATTCCCCTTCACTATTATTCATAAGCAAAGAGCAGGGTGGATGAGTAAACTAAAGCTACTGGATGAGAATATAGAAGTATCCCTGTGTACAAATATATAATAAATTATTTGATATATTTCACTTATGAATTTTTAATTTCTGATATATGAATGTGGCCCTATACAGATTGCATTATCTCATATATTATTACTGATTCCTGACCCATTGATAGAAAATATTAGAATTTCTCCCAAAGCCTCTTATTCTAAGTTTTTCAAAGAAGTGAAGTTCCCCCAAAGTATATGGTATTATATTTGCTCTAGAATTTTTTTGAGTATCATGCATTATGGTAGATATAAAAAGTATCCATCACTTTCAGAGAACTTAAAGCCTAATTAAGGAGCAAAGATATACATTAACAATTAAAGTATGGTTATGGTACAATATATATACATAGCACCCCAAAGTTGGCTTCAAGTCAGTAATGGCAAATGTGATTCTGGTTTTCTCCTTCTATGATCGTGACTAACCAAGCCTGGCTTTGGTCTCAAAAATATTTTTAATAGAGTGTTCCAGGAGATCTCCTCAGATGTCTCCATTGTATATGTCATGACATCTATTTATTATATTACATTCCTGTCTCAAGCATTGAGGATTCCTGATTTTAAGAACAACAAAATTATGAGGCTCTTTCCTCTGGCATACAGGATAATATTCAAACCTGATTATCCTACCCTCTAATTCATACCTCCTTATATGTCTGGATATTGACTTCTTGTGTTCCATTTATGCCTCTTACTTCATTTCATCTCCTCATCCTTCTCCATTTACACTTGACCACCATGGTTCTTACTATGACTTCATGACTTGGAATTCCACGAGAAAGCTTCTCTGAATATCCACAGTGTCCATGACCTACAAACATGCCCATAGGTACCCATGGGCCCAGGTTTGGGCCCTCATGATTCTGTCAACTTGTTCAGAGAACTACCCCCTGGACTGTAGATGTCTTTTGGATATTATAGGGCATGTGAGTGTTAGACCATAAGTACTATAGTGGTTCAGGGGAAGGAAGAATGCCTACCAACTGGATGGCAATTATGGTGAGTCCTAAGGAAGGAACTGTAAAAAAGGGATCCATAAGACAGTTCAGGTGTGATGGAAAAGAAAAACAAAAAACAACAACATCTGCAACATTAATTAGGATACAAAATGTAGTATGTTCTAAGGACTTGGTATCAATAAGACTTGCTTGCCCTAAGATTGTTGATAATAGAGAGTAAATATATAATAAAATGTTAGGTAAAGTAAAATACTTTGGGTGAGTAACTATAAACTGGTTTAAGAAGAAGGCCACTTACATAAAATGAAGAATCAAGCACTCTAGAATCTGGATTCCAATAATTGCAATAAAGTGCTAGGTTGATAAATATCTGTAAGTTGGGCTATTGTAGTGATCAGAGGTATGGACACATAGCACTGATTTTACAAATATTATATTTCAGGTACTATGCTAAATATTGAGGATAAAATACACAATGCCTTCAGAAATCAAAAAGTCAATGGGCAAAAAGCCAGTGAGAAGGAAATATAATGTCCATGTGTTGACAAAAATCTTATTGGTTATTATGTGAACACAGAGGAATGGCACTTAACCCTGCTTTGGATGGAAAGAGAGGACAGCTGATGGGAGAGATTTCTAGAGGAGGGTCTGTGGATCCTAAAAGATGAATATTAATTACACCAAGTCAGAGAAGAGGTAGGTAGTGGATGGTAAAAGGAAGAGGGAGGGCACACTGCAAGCAGGAAAGTGTTTGTTAATGCACATAAGGTAAAAGCAGGACAGTACATGTCAGAAACTACATTTTCAAAGTTGCTGGAGCTTGAAGTGTCAGATAAGGAGTGGTAAGAGAAACAATGGGAGGGGAGTCATGCTGTAGAGCATGACCTTAATTCTCTAGGTAGTGCTGAGTTATTGAAGAGTGTAAATAGAAGAGAGGCAGGTTCAAATTTAAGTTTTAGAAGGATCACACTTATGGATTTTGGATTGGAGAATGACAAAACTAAAGGCAAGAAAGCCAGCTAAACTGTTGTTCCTAGGAGGGAATTTCTGAACTAGGGCATATATGGCAAATTGAAAGGATACACTTGGGGAACATACGGGAGATAAATTGGGAGGATATACTACAGACTGAATATGGGTAGGGATAAAGTGGGAGGAGGCAAATGAAACAAGTAGGTGTATATGGGGCAAATTAACAGACATAAATAATTCAGAGGGTGAAAGCAGTTTGGAGAGAAAGGTGAGCTCAGTTTGGGATATGTTTTCTTTGAAGCTGTCTATAGAATATTCAGGTGGGAGTTTCAGCAGGTATGTGGCTATATTTGTCTGAAGCTTGTAGTGTGAAGAATCTGAACTAGAAATATATTAAGAAGTGGACCTGGATAGATACTGTGAATAAAACCTTAAAAATGAACGAGATCTAGCAATTCTAGTGCTAGATATGTGTGTGTGTGTGTGTGTGTGTGTATACACATCTCCAAGATAAATGAAAACATATGTCCACACACAAACTTGTATACAAATGGTCACAGCAGTGCCATTCTTAATAGCCAAAAGGTAGAAACAATCTAAATGCATATCAGCTAGTGATAAGAAAAAAAAAGTGTAGTATATATCCATGCAATATAATTCAACAATAAGAAAGAAATGAATACTGATACATGCTACAATGTAGATGAACTTTTTGAAACATGATGCTAAGTGAAAGAAACCAGTCACAAAAAAACCCAAACATTTTATGATTTGATCTATATGAAATATGTAGAATTGGTGAGTCTATAGAGACAGAAAGTAGATTAATAGTTTTTTAGAGTTGGGGAAAATGGGGGAACAGGAGGTGATAGCTAGAGGATATGGTATTTCTATTTGAAGTGATGCTACAACATTGATGTTGGTAGTAATTGTAAACATCTTTAAATAAACTTTAAAAAAGCCCCAAAACAATGAATTGCACACTTTAAATGGGAAGGCTGAATGGTATGTAAATTCTATCTTAACAAAGCTTTTTAAGAAATTCTCCCAGGGAGAGTATATATACTGAGAATAGCAATGGGCAGCAGATGGAAACTTTGAGAACTGTCAACAGGGAGAACTAGCAGAAGGGAAGACTAGGAAGAAAACAGAGAAAGAATAATGAGAGAAGAATGTTCTGTAATGGGGAAGAGAGAGTGCCAAAAGTTGCAGAGACAGATAGTATAAAGAGAACTAAAACCACCAATGGATAGAGCAACTAGGAATAACAAGCCAAAATACAGTGAATTTAGACATGAATGGGGAGGTGGGGAGGTAGAGGAGTATAGATTATTACTAAAACTCTGCTCTTAGTTCTTAAATTGTGATAGAACCACTCTACTAGGTTGTATACAGAGACAGGGAAGAAGTTGAGGGAGATCCAAGTTAATGGAATCATGTAATAATGTGTCCCCATTTCTGAACTCAGATCTACTTCATTCCATCCATTGCTTCTGGTCAGCATTTCAGCCACAGAAACTGAAAAGAAGGGGGGTACTTAAAGGATTCAGGTTCTGTGATATATTATATCCCTTCTCATACTTGGGTAGCTACCATGGGGCAGTAACTGCCTAAAGACAACTGGAAAAGTACAGTTCTGAAAGAAGCTGGACAGAAATAGTGGAACCCTTTCATTCTATAGAGGTGACAATACTTTTGGTGACTTGTTCAAGGTCATAAAGTTTTCTGTTAAAAAGCTAAGAGTATAATCCAGATTTTCTAACTCTGATGCTGATGTCTTTCCCTGAGACACATCTTAACACCTTAACACAAATACTGTTTGCAGAACTTGTTAATTTCCTCACTATAATCTTTAGGCTGAAAGATTCTGCTCTAAATTTAGCTGTATAGGGCAGTCCAGGTGGCTCAGCAGTTTAGTGCCGCCTTCAGCCCAGGGCCTGATCCTGGAGACCCGGGATCGAGTCCAGCGTTGGGCACCCTGCATGGAGACTGCTTCTCCCTCTGCCTGTGTCTCTGCTTCTCTTGTCTCTCATGAATAAATAAAATCTTTTAAAAAATTAGCTGTATATAATTAGAGTGATATTGGTTATTAAGGGTTTTAACTTCAATACCCTAATAATTCCTACTTTATTCTGTATATTTTATCACCAATTAAAAATATCCTGAGAAATTTCCTTTTATGACTATACCATTTGAAATTATTTTGTAAAAATTAGATTTAACTTTTTCATATTGTTGAATGATTTACATGTTCCCCCCCCTTTTTTATAAGATAAATTTGGTTATACCTCCAGATGTCTAGTTGGAAATCTATGCTGCTATTGAATACTTGAAATTAATCCTCAGATTCCACTTGCCAGGATCTGTGTTCTAAAGGAACTATTCCTCTCATCCGAGAAGGATCATCTGATAATGTCCCTTACTTCTTCCACCCTCATCACTGCAGATAAAGACCTCTCAAATCATAACTTCATATCCTCAAAGCTCTGTCAATGGTCACACTCAGAAGATTCTCATTAAGCTGAGGTAGTATGTATCTGGCAAGCAATAGTCTGCTAAAAACTCCCTTTGTCTTTTTTTTTTTAATTTTATTTATTGACAGATCACAAGTGGGGGGTGGAGGGGTAGAAGGAGAAAGAGACTCTCAAGTGGACTCCATGCTGAGCAAAGAGAGTCCAACTCAGAACTCGATCTTATGACCCTGAAATCATGACCTAAGCCAATGTTAAGAGTCAGATGTTTAACCGAGTGAGCCACCCAGGTGCTCCTGCATTTGTCCTCTTAAAGAAAGGCAGTTGTTCTTTTACAATGGAACATCTGCTAAATAATAAGTGTCTATGATGCTGTGCCAAGATGGAAGCTGAACAAACACTCTTTTTCATCATTATGTCCATGAATTAGAACTAGATCTTTGATTGTTCGGTGAGGGCTTCCTCCTTTGCAATATAAGCCATGTTTTATTGGTATTATTTTTCTCTTCCACTTTGAACATCTTGCTAAATTTTGTCCCTTGCTCCAAATTTGGAAACTTAAGAACTTAGAGACTCCACTAGCTTTCTCTAGAGCAGCTGTGTTCAACTGAGGGCAGTTTTATCCCTAGAGAACATCTGACAATATCTAGAAGCATTTTTTGATTGTCAGAACTAAGCAGGTGCTACTGGCTCCTCGTAGGTAAAAGCCAAAGATGATGCTAAATATTCCAGAATGCATAACACAGCCCCTCCAATAGTTTACCTGGTCCAAAATGTCATTAATGTTGAGGTTGAGAAATCCAGTTCTAGAGAGTGCTGCCCAGATAGCAATTCCCTATAGAGTTTTTCCGTATAGAGATGGAAAGTTCGTATTTCCTGCCTTTGCATATGTGGGAGGGGTCATGCCTCATATATCTGACCAATATGATCACTTATAATCAACACACAAGGAGGACTCAATAAGGACCAAAGCCTGGAATCATTAGCCACCTTTATTAATGATTACAAATCACAGAGAAAAGAAAAAATGTTGGATGGATTTTGTTTGCAGTTTCTCTTCCTCCTAGACCTAATTGCTAGTCATATAGGAAATGTACTAGGTTTGAAAGATTTAAAGGAAACATGATACATGCAGAGGCAGATATAAGATACCAAGTTAAAAATCTATACCAATGACTATTTCCAGACAATGGAAAGAAAAATGGCAACACTCCATTCTTTCCTTCATGATCATGTTCGATGGAGAATGGCTAGAAATTGCTATTATATAAGCTGGGAGAAAAGTACTTTAAGAGTACTGAATACAAAAATAAAAGAAATAGAGATTTTACAAATCCCAGCAGGTTAGAGGAAGACTATTAAAATGTGTGATCCTAGAAGAGAATTGTTTCTAAAATTGAGAAGCGACTTATCAACTAGTACTTGCTGTATATACTTTTTTTTGCCATGTATACTTTAATTTCATAGCCTGACGCTTACCTGCAGGATCACTGAGGATGGCTGGCTTATATCCCACACTCCTGGAACTATCATTTCTATGGGAGGCTCATTCTGTAATGTCATGCTGAATAGCACAGACCCAAGAATGGATTTGCTACAAAAGAAAACACAGACAGACAGACAGGAGTCACTTCAAGAGGGAAGCTATTATTATATATAGACACTTTCTTTTGGAATGTAAACATAACCAGCTATTTCAGTGGCTGCATTCAATAGTTAGAATAGAAATATAATATTCCACGAGCCTAGATATTGATTAGTAGTTAATTCTAATATACAGCACACATGACTATGTTCACAGCTACATTTATTTTCCACATGAAAAAATTATTTCCACAATGGCTTCTGACAGGTATAATTTTTTCTTAATATACAACAATATTGATTAAAAGATGGGACTATGAATCTTCGATTTATATTCTTGGACTTATGAGTGCCTCAAGTCAATAAAGATATCATTAACTCTTCAGAACATTTTTGCTCCATGAAGTGACTAAATTCCCTGGGCATTGTTAAAGGTATGAGCTCTAAATTTATAGAAAGAAAAGATTTAAATTAGCATATGATCTGCAGAATCAAAATAGTTGTGGGACTTCACAGAGGAAATGCTTCTAAATAGAAAGATTATTCATAGTCTGAATGTTTAAAAACAGGCTTTAAATTACCATTGTAAATGAGGGTGAATACAGGAAGAATTTAGACAGGAAGAATTCATGGATGGTTTTAACAGTTTCAGTAACATCCAAATCCACAGATCCTCATAGGAATTAAAAGAGAATCTACACTTGACTGTATGTATGAATAAGATTATTGGTAAAATGTTCCAATGATCACTGAGGACAGTCTGACTTTAAAATACCAAAATAAAAATGTAAGCAAGTCAACAAAAATTAAATATAAGTTTATAAAGAGCTTTAAGACATCAAGTAAGTCTTTTTGAAAATGCTATAGAGGGGGAAGGAACTAAGATGGCAGAGAAGTAGGAGGCCTCGAGGTTTGCTTTGTTTCTCAAACACAGCTAGATAAATAACAAATTATTCTGAATACCCACGAAATCATTATGAGGATTTACAGAGCAAACTGTACAAACAGTTGGGAGAGTACAAACAGAGGGAGAGAAGAGGCCACATCATGGAAGGTAGGAGGTGTGGAGGTGTGTGGAGGGTGGGAACTCTGGTCACAGAAAGAGAAGAGAGAAAGAGGAGCACACAGGGATTGCCCTCCACCCCGCAGCATAGATGCAAAGACATGTGCTGAGGGCAGCTAACCTGGACACTAGTTCTTTAGTGTGCTTTGCTCCAAACCTCACACTCCTGCACTCTGGTGTGACTTCCCTTCTGGGTCAAACCTGCACCAGACCCAGTGCAGTGAGATCCTCCCCCAGAAGACCAGTGCAGGTCCCTGCCACACCAGGTCCCTAAAGTTTGGAGATTGATTGATTGATTTTTAAGTAGGCTCCACCTGGGGCTTGAACTCACAACCCTGAGATCAAGACCTGAGCTGAGGTCAAGAGTCAGACACTTAAACATCTAAGCCACCTAGGTCCTCTTAAAGGTTGGAGTTTTAAAACTCAACTTGCCTGACTGGGCTAGAGCCCAAAGTGTACTGTGCTGTTCCAGACAGGCAAGTAACCTGGACACAGTGTGGGAATAGTGATCTGAAAAACAGCCATGATGCAAGCGAGGAAATTATTCACTCTTCTAGGAGAGCTTCACTGACAACAGCAAGCACAAACTCTCCTCTGTGGGGACAAAGAAGCTGGCTGGTGCCATTTTCTTTCCCCACCCTTCAGTATAATCCAATTTCAGCCCCAACAATGGTGGCCTAAACTTAAGCCTTGCTCCACTGTGCTCTGTGGATGCATCCTTTCTCCAGCAAGTATGCCTAAGGACCAGCATGGCAGGCCTCTCTATCTAAAAGCTAGCACAAATCCCTGCACGCACCATGTTTACTGACCACAGAGCTCAGCAACATTTCAGTTCTAGTGGAAATAGTTTTAGGTCTCTCTTAACAGGCAGATCAGAGCACACCTAGTTAAAATTACCACACTCTGGCCACTACAGGCAAGGAAAAACCCGCAGAAGACTGACCTGAGGGATAGAACAGCCATAACACAACAGCAGAGTGGATGTAGCATACACCAGAGACCTGCTCCTACTATCAGGAGCAGGAAACATAATAGGCTTTCCTAACACACAGAAGAAGACATAACTGAGACAAGATACCAAGACAAAGGAATTCATCCCAAAATAAAGAAAAAGAAAAGGTCATGGCTAGGAATCTTATCAAAACAGATATAAGTAATATGCCAGATCTAGAATTAAAAGCAATAATCATAAGGATACTATCTAGACTTGACAAAAGCATTGAAGATACCAAGGGGTCCCTTACTGCAGAGATAAAAGAGCTTAAAATCAATCAGGCCAAAATGAAAAATGCAATAAACAACTGGATGCAACACTCATAAGGATGGAAGAAGCAGAGGAATGAATAAATGATAAAGATGATAGAATTATGGAAAATAATAAAGGTGATCAAAAGAAGGAAAGATAAATCTTGGATCATGGAATCAGTGATTCCATGAAATGTATTAACATTCATATCATAGGAGTCCCAGAAAAAGAAGAAGAAAGAAAAGGGGGCAGAAGGTTTATTTGAGGAAATTATAGCTTAAAACCTTCCTAATCTGGGGAAAGAAACAGACTTCCAAATGCAAGAAGTATAGAGAACTCCCATCAAAATCAAGAAAAGCAGGCCAACACCAAGACATATTGTAGTTAAATTTGCAAAATATAGAGATAAAGAAAATATTCTAAAAAGAGCAAGACAAAAGATTCCCTAACTGACAAGTGAAGAGAAAAAAGGTTAGTAGCAGATCTATCCATAGAAACTTGGCAGGCCAGAAAAAAGTGGCATAATATATTCAACATGTTGAATGGGTAGAATCTACAACCAAGAATACTCTATCTTGCAAGGCTATCATCACTCAGAATAGAAGAAGAGATAAAGAATTCCTCAGACAAACAAAAGCTAAAGGAGTTTGTGTCTACTAACTCAGCCCTGCAAAAAATATTAAAGGGAACTCTTTGAGTGGGGAAAAAAGACTAAAAAGGAATAGAGAAAATCTCCAGAAATAACAACAAAACAAGCAATTAAATGGCACTAAATTGATATCTGTCAATAATTACTCTGAATGTAAATGGACTAAATGCTCCAATCAAAAGACATAGGCTGTCAGAATGGATAAAAAAGCAAGACCCTTCTATATGTTGTCTACAAGAGACTCATTTTAGAGCTAAACATATCTAAGATGAAAGTAAGGGGATGGAGAAATATTTTTCATGTAGATAGACATCAAAAGAAAGCCAGAGTAGCAAATACTTATATGAGACATTTGAACTTTAAACCAAAGACTGTAACAAAAGGTACTATATCAAAATAAAGGAGACTATCCAACAGAAATCTAACAATTGTATTTTTTCCCCAACTTGGGAGCACCCAAATACATAAAATAGTTAATAACAAACATAGGACTCATTGATAATAATTCAATAAATAGTAGGGGACTTTAACACCTCACTTACATCAATGGACAGATCATCTAAGCAGAAAATCAACAAGGAAACAATGACTTTGAATGATACAATGGGCCAGATGGGCTTAACAGATATATTCAGAACATTTCATTCTAAAGCAGAAGAATATACATTTTTTTCAAGGACACATGGGCCATTCACCAGAATAGATCAAATACTGGGTCACAAATCAGTTCTCAAGAAGTACAAATAGATTGAGATCATACCATGCATATTTTCTGACCACAAGGCTATGAAACTTGAAGTCAACCACAAGAAAGAATTTGGAAAGGCCATACATACATGGAGGTTAAAGAACATCCCAATAAAGAATGAATGAGTCAACCAGGAAATTAAAGAATAAATTAAAAAAAAATATGTAAACAAATGAAAATGAGAGCACAATAGTCTGAAACATTTGGAATGCAGCAAAAGTGTTCCTAAGAGGGACTATATAGCAATTCAGGCCTACCTCAAGAAGCAGGAAAAATCTCAAATACAATCTAATATTATACCTAAAGGAGCTGGGAAAGAAACAGCAAATGAAGTCTAAACCCAGCAGAAGAAGGAAAACCATAAACATTAGAACAGAAATAAATGATATAGAAACAAATAAACAAAACCAGTAGAATAGACCAACGAGGCCAGGAGCTGGTTCTTTGAAAAATTTAATAAAACTGATAAACCCCTAGACATAATAATCAAAAATAAAAGGGAAAGGACCCAAATAAATAAAATCACAAATGAGAGAAGGGAGATCACAACCAACACCATAGAAATACAAATAATCAGAATATTATGAAAATTATATGTCAACAAATTGGACAATCTGGACGAAATAAAAATATTATTCACCACGATCAAGTGGGATTTATTTCTGGGTTGCATGGGTGATTTAATATTTGCAAATCAATTAATGTGATACCCTACTTTAATAAAAGAAAGGATAAGAACGATATGATCTTCTCAATAGATGCAGAAAAAGCATGTGACAAAGTACAGTAGCCATTCTTGACAAAAACCTCTCACAAAGTAGAGATAGAGGGAACATACCTCAACATTATAAAGGCCATATACAAAAGATCCACAGCTAATATCATCCTCAATGGGGAAAAAACTGAGAGCTTTTCCTCTGTAGTCAGGAACAAGACAGGGATGTCCACTCTTACCACTGTTATTTAGCACAGTAAAGGAAGTCCTAGTGTGAGCAATCAGACAACAAAAAGAAATAAAAGGCATCCAAATAGGCAAGGAAGAAGTTGAGCTTCCACTATTTGCAAAAGATACAATACTGTGAGTAGAAAATCCGAAAGACGACTAAAAATTGCTAGAACTGACACATGAGTTCATTAAAGTTACATGATACAAAATCAATGCACAGAAATCTGTTACATTTTTAGACAACAATAATGAAGCACCAGAAAGAGAAATCACGGAATCAATCCCATTTACAATTATACCAAAACCCATAAGATATTTAGGAATAAACCTAACCAAAGAGGTAAAAAAGCTGTACTCT